GTGCAGCAGGATCACACCTGGTGAAATGCTTGGTTACAAGTATGTTTAATTACCATACTTAGGAACAGCTGCAGGCGGAAGAAAAGTACTATTAAAAATATTCACATTCCCTGTCAAAAATAATATAAACAAGTTTTCTGGTGTGGTGTTGCAATGTGTACTTTGCTTCATATTTACATAGGCACTTAAGGATGCAGAGAGCTGCTGTAGTAAATCTCACTAAAATCATAGCAAATGAAATGGTGATTCTGATTAACTTCTGCACCTGGCTTCGTTTAAAGCTCTTAAATCCTGCTGTATGTTTATGCCCATCTTTTAAGTCCATCCTTTGAAAATCTAGTCCTGTTTGACAAATGTAGATTTCAGAAGTTTCATCTATTTTTGAGATTTATTACTTTCTGTAGAGTCAGCAATAGTTATGTTTAAAGAAAGAAAAGGAAAACACACAACAATATAGTAATATAAGAGTATTTATTTTGCGTTACTTTTTTTCCAAGCTCCAGTCATGATTTTGGAGCCCTGTGATATTACAGAATGAAACAAAAATCCCTTCAGCAAAGAACTTAAAGTGGATGTATGATACTGAACAAGTGAAGTTAAGCAGAAGGGCAGACAGAGTAGCAGTCCCTTTGCCTTACTCCCTCGGAAGGAGAAGGTCTGGACAAAAATTGTAGCCCTTTTATCTCAGGGTTTGTACTCTGACGTGTACGTGACCAGGATCTATTCTGTACGTCTCAGTGTGGCTTGGTGAGAGCCACAGCAGGAGGGCGTTGGGGAAGGTGAGTGTGGTTGAGCTGGATGAATCTAGCCCAGTGTGTACCGAAGAGCTGGAGAAATACTTTTTTTTTTTTTTTTTTAATGTTGGCATATTATATGAATTAGTCTAAGATAGTTTGCATTCTATCACAGTCCAAAACAGCAGTTGTGCTTTATTTTCCAGATTTTTTAAAGTTATTTTACTGGAAAATAATCTTGTCCTTTTTTTTTTTTTTTTTTTTTTTTCTGTTATCGATGGGTAGGAGCTAAGTTTTTGATTTATCTCAACTTAGAAACTGAAGCTGGTGTAGATGAAAGCTGAAGGGCAGCAGGTCACATTTTAGTTTTATGATAATATGTGCGAGAGTCTCTGCTAACCTCCCATGCACTCTGGATGCTCTTTTAAAGTCATGGTTTCTGGCATAATGAAACCCAAATATTTTGGAGCGTCCTTATCAAGCCATCTGATGGCTGTCTCCACGTGTGGCACATTGCCACAGCTGAGATAAGGAAAGGCAGCCGAGCTACACCCTTCTTGGTATAACAGAGGAAGGGAGTTCTTAGGAAAAGCTCCAAACCTCTTAGGAGCATCTGACGTTGAAATATTGAAATAGCTTTTACTAATGATGGTGCCTAACCGTGCGCTTAAGGCTGCCTTGGTATTTGATGGCTGGAAGGAGAAAAATGTGTTGCAATTATTTTATTATTTATTAGCAAGACATTTTATTTATATTTCTGCTTGAGAAGATCTCATTGGAGATGCATTGATTTCACAGTGTAAAATACCATCCAAGAATTTCTATGCTTTAGTAAGATAGAAGTAACCTTTTTTTTGGGGGTGTGTGTGTGTGTCTTCCACTGTAATATATGTAGCTCTCAGCTATGTATCTGTTTTGTTACTCAGAGAGTGGCGGCTGCCAGTTATATTTGCCTGCTGTCCTGTTCTTATGCTTTGAAGCAGTCATTCACAACTGCTGCTGCACGGCCCATAGCAAGTTATGCCAGCAGAAGTGGTGCTTTCTGTATTTTCTGAAAACACTTCCAGGAACTGGTTTGCTGTTGGTTAAGAGACATGTGTTGGCTACAAATGATCTGTTCATTACAGTTAGGATCATCCGTTGGGAAAAATTTTAATAGTGGGAAGCTCAGTCCCTCAGCCGAGCAACTTTTCAGGGTTGCCTTAGAGGTTTGTGGGTTTTGTTGGTTGTTTTCTTTTTTCTTTCTCAGAGTTACTGGGGAAAAAAAAAGTAGGCAAAGGAAAGGAAAAAGACCAAAGTGACTGGTCTCAACTGTGCTGCCAGTTGTTGTGACTTTCTGAGACCTCAGGTAGTTCTTTTCAGTCAATCTTTTCTTAAATAAATAAATTGCACTTCAGTTGGGCTTCCCCTCACAGAGTTTGGACAGTGTATGAGGAGGGGAACGGGCTGAGGTGTCTTCACAGAGCTCACGGCGTGTGCTGTGCTGCTCCCGCTTGGTGGGGGTTTCTCTCCAGTTTTTGTAATGCCTAGCTATGTACTGGGGATGGGACATGGCCAAAAACTGTTTGTACTCCCAGTGGTTTTGGTAAGGTTTATATTGTTATATTGTCCATAGAATTGATATAGAGTTTATTTTTTATATTTTTTAAGAACTGTTCCAAGTTGCTCACTAATCTGCACTAATTTTTTTAAAGACAAATTAAGTGTGTGCGTGTACAAGTGTGACCAGAACTCAAACAATTGGCACGAGTACCAAGGCACCTGATCAGTCAAATCCATGTAGCTTTGGTCTGTTTTAGCTGCCCTTTGTGCATTTGGCTGCTCTCTTAATTAAATCCCTCAAAGACTTTTTCTATCACTCTTCAGTGTTCAGTAATGGCATTTTCCTAAGCAGTCTACCACATAAATGTTTCTTGCTTTTTTATTACAATAAATATTTTAATCCATACTTGTGAAACAGTATTACAAGCTTACTTCTTACAAGAAGGTAATATTCTATTTGGAACTGAAGTAGTTTATGGGATGAAGTTATGAAGTACTATGGGATCATAGTAACACTTTATTTTCAGGTAATTATCTAGGAATAACCTTTTCATCTAATTCACACTACAATAAGGAATGAATTTTATCTTTTAGGACAAACCTATATAAAATACAGATTTTTTCCCCTCACATGGAGTTAATACTGCTTGATTATGAACAAAGATAGAGTAGTTCATTAAAAAATGGCAAATGACTTTCAAGAACAATTTCTGCTCTGAATTTTGTATCTGTCTGATTTGCAAAGGGTGTGCATTTCAGAATAAAGCCTTTCATTACACTTCATGACCAGGAAGTTTGTGCACACCAAAGGCGTGAGGATGGCAGTTTTGCTTTAGGCCTGTGTGGTGCATGATTAAATAAAAGCCTCATTTTCTGTCCTGTCATGTATATGCTCCCATCATGTGCTCCAACACTTAAACATGGTGCTGTTCTGAAGGTATCAATGTCATAGTTCGGTAGATGCTGTTGATTTGGGGGAAAATAATTGTTTCGTGAAGTTCCTATGAAGACCTCAAGTTTGAGTTTTCTTATTGAAAGGTTTAGGTATCAAAGGCAAAGAAATCCACCACACTTGTGCTCTACTATAAAAACAACAACCCACACTTGTGCTCTACTATAAAAACAACAACAAAAAAGACATATAAATGAGAAAGCTTATTTTTACAAGTCTGAAGTGCACAGCTAAAAGAGCTTTAGCTTTACAGTGTCATGAAGGAAATGGGGCTAGACGCACAGAGCTAACGCTTGCCACGTCTCAGGAGGGCCTCAAAAAGCATGAAAGGAGGTGGGTACAGCAGCTCCTGGGGGCCGGAAAGCATCGTTCGGAAAGCTGAAGTTATGTCCAACTGAAGCAGTTCAAAAGGACCTTTAACCTGGGCAGGTTAAAAATAAAAGCGCAACTGTGCAAGCAGCAGGTGGCTTTGAGGAGAGGTAGCGGTGACTGGGTAGGCCTGAGCCCGTGACCTTGGTAGCGGCACAGCTGAGGTGAGAGGCGACAGAAACTTTCAAAATGGCGGGTGGCAGGGAGAGGACTGGTGAGGTGGATGTTTCACCTTCTTGTCTAACATAAGGATTAGGGGTCATGAAATGTAAGCAGTGAAAGCCATGGTCCAAAAGGTAAAAATGGGCTTGCAGACTTCCTTGCCAAACAGCACTTTGGATGATGAAAGTTTATGTGGATTGAAGGAAAAGCAGATGTAGAAGAGAAATTCTTTTGAAGGTCCCTACATAGAATCATAGAATCACAGAATGCTTAAGGTTGGAAGGGACCTCTAGAGGTCATCTAGTCCAACCCCCCTGCACACACAGGGTCACCTAGAGCACGTGGCACAGGACTGCGTCCAAGTGGGTTTTGAAGATCTCCAGCGAAGGAGACTCCACAACCTCTCTGGGCAGCCTGTTCCAGGGCTCTGTCACCCTCACTGTTAAGAAATTTTTCCTACATGCATAGAAACTACAGGGAATAACCTGAGATGAAAATATTTGAAGCTTATGGAGTTGTTGGAGGGGAACAAACTACAAGCTTGTGCTATATTTACTCCGGATCTGCTTATGGCTGCTGTTGGAAAGAGACCGTTAGAAATACTCTAAGTATGTACTTTCTTTTCGTCATTTACTTTCTTTTCCCCATTTCTCTGTTTTATCAGTTAAACTAACTTGGTGTTATTTCAGACAACTGCAGTTTCTGTGGTAAGTACTGCAGGATACCTGTGTAAAGAATAAAACTGGGGGAGTTCGGAGCTGCAGCAGCATCTTGGTTGCAGCCCATGGCATAGAGGGAAGCACTGAAAGGCAAGAACAGCAGCTGGAAGCAGGGTAGAGAAGATTCAGATAATGTTTTGGCTGCATACTTTATTCTCTCGTCATTTTTCCCAACTGTACCGCTAAAGTAGGGTGTAGATACACAGAGCACCCCAGCCCTTTTCAGGGGTAATGGGCTTATGTGGCTTATGGAAGGAATAGAAGAGCCTTTCTCTGATGCCAAGGATATTTAACATATATTTATATTTAGTCATGAAACAACCATGTAAGTGACTCTGCTACATATCCTGTCACCTTAAAGACACTGGTGACTGAACTTGCCAGGGAAAGCCGTGTCTGGTAGAAAGTCACTGTTTTCTGTACTTTTTGATAGAGTCAGTTACTGTGGGAAGAGGGTTTTTTAGCGTACTAGGTAGCTCATAAAGCCCTCAAAACACTGAAACAAAAGTATCCAAAAAAACAATGTCTGATGGTTTTCCTTCTGTTCTGTCTTCCCAGGAATCCTGTGGTTGCTTTCCTTCAGATACCTCTGTCACTAGAGAGCAGATGAACCGCTATCGAGCTGCAGCGGACACTGCTCAGAGTGAGCTTGCAGCGCTTTTGGTGAAGTATGATTATGCCCAGTCAGAGGTACACTTAAAAATACCTCCAAATCTCTCTCCAGACTTGAGGATTCTCCTTGGTTACTTTTTGTAGAGGATAGAGTGTTTGTAAGGAAGTCCAAAAGTCCTTGCTTTTTGATGAATTTGTACTTGAAATGTTGGTACCAGAGTCTCCCTTTTATCATGGCCACTATTATCATTCCATAAATACACTATTTGGCAATGAAACATGAAAGTTAACGTTTCAGAAATGTGGCTGTATAAAAGCTGTTATCCCGTTATTGCTGGTGAATTCATGTTTAGCTGTCCATCCTCACTCATTTCTCCTCTTTAATGAAGTTACAGCTCCCAAAATATGCATTGCTTACATTTCCATTGAAGGTGTACTTGAGCTAATAAGGTTGATTTTAACCTTATTAAAGGTACTAAAGTGCACATGCACATCATTTTCTGCTGTGGGGATAGTGGCCCTCAGGAGAGATGTAAGGTAGGTAGCAGGAGGAAATAACATTTATAATGAATAGCTGGATTTGTTTAGATAATTTGAAAGTTTCTGTATTTTTACTCCTTTATTTTTATATATATGTGTATATATATACACGCGTACACACATGCACACATATACACACACATATAGCTGAACGAGATTTACTTAATCTGATTCTACAATGAATCACTGATCAGTTTTTAAATTTCTTTTATTGTAGGTAACAGGATAACAGCACAGATGTGTAATACAGGGGAATTCATTGTTAATTTAGTATCCAATTAAAACTACAGAGATTAGTGTGCGTCAGCTGAGCTGAACTTTGGGCAGTTGATCCTGAAAATGCTGTAAAAATTGTAAAAGGTCTTTAATGGTGTACAGGATCAATAGTTTAGCTTTACTTATCATTTTTAAAAAGTCATACAAAACTTAATGTTCTCATAAATAATTTGTTCTCTATGTTATTGGAAATCTTGAATGGCTTTATTGCCAGCAAAACTGAGCGATTTATAGATTGTTTCAGCGCTCTTCTTGCAAAAGCAAAAGAGTAGGCAAGAAAGCAGCTGCTCAGGCTCTTGTTAATACAGACCTTCATGACCCAGTTAAGGTCAAAGCCCGGTTATGCTGAGCACTCTGTAAAACTCATGCTATGGGATTATTCTTGCTCTTTCTGCTATTGAAGCTGACCACGGAGACAATGGACAGAAGAAAAAAAAATACCCCATTTTGCAGATAGGGAGTTGAACCACAGAGAAATTTAAGGTTGTGAGCACTTTAGACTCCCATAAGTTGCTCCGGCTGCCAAACAAAGCAGTCCTGTTCCTGCAGCTGCTCCTTTCCTTTCCCACACTGCCCCATCCCCTGTGTTGGCAAGAATATCCGTGTGGTCGTACAGCCGCTGGCTTGGGGAACTCATCCAGCCGAAGCCTAGGGCCTTTCCTTCTAGAGTGCTTTCAGCCGGATCAGTTTCTCGGTCTATGTTACTTCACAGCCATTTAACTGCTTTTGCCAGCACAAAGCCAAGGGTGGAACATGGGAATTAAACTTCTGAGGGGTCATAATCACCGTAAACTGGTCGAAACTGAGGTACTGTTGAAGGAGGGGCTGTCTACTTGACTTCTCACTGACAGCCTTTTTGCTGTCATGTAGTGAGTCATATTGGCTTTCTTACCTAGCTAAACATAATAATCTGTCTTTTTTTGAGTGAGGGACTAATTTTCACCGGGCATCTCTATGAATTTTCGCAACAGCATATGGTCAGTGGCAAAACATGCATTTGTAGGAATAGAGGGAGATCTGCTACAGAAATCTAGAGATTCAGAGTGTGATTCCAAGGCAGTTCTTGTTTATTTTTTCCCCCTCTTTAAAGGAGTTGCTCTGCAGTAGTGTTATAGCCACATAGTGAGCTGGTTAAATTCATTAAATTGTCAGAAAACTACACTTCCCTAACCATCTCTTCTCCATTAAAAAGTGAATTATTTTTCATCAGCTGAGTGGGTTAAATTATTTTGTTGAGGTATCAGGAACCAGAGCTGGTGCAAGGAAGAGGGAAGAAGTGCATAGTGAGGGACAAGAAAACCAGGACCTCCCTTTCCCAAGGGAGCAGCCATTCAGATGGCTCACCAGTCGCTTGGAATTTTGCTCAGAATACCTTGTTTGGTCCCCCTGGTTAGACTCTGGCAGAGCCACAAATTTATTCTGGCCTCCGAAGTTTAGTGTCTTAAATATTTACTCTCTTAAAATATTTGACTCCTCTTAAAAGCCTTAGCACAAGTCGGAGCAGTTAATGCAGCTTAATTATTTGCCTGTTAATTTTAAATAGGAACTAAATGCTCATACTACATCCCGCTGCTTATAACAGAGCTGTTAGCAAAGCTTAAACATGGCTTAGCACTTCTTGTAACAAAAGTTCCCCTTCCAATTATTTGATTCGCTTAACAAAATAAAATTGTAACACTGAAATTTATGTGCCTGGTGTGTGTCTCAAGCTGAGTTTTCTGGAGAAGATTGTAGCAAATAGCTGAATGGAAAATGTTATTTTAATAAAAAAAAAAAAAAGAGGGAAGCAAAGAACAACAAATGAACTTCATAAGCTTTTGGGAAGATCTAGCATCATCTTTGGAACAAATTCTTGACATTTGGCAGTCATCTTCTCCAACCCTCCCTGAAAAGTCTTTTTGTTTCTGTGTAAATCCAGCTACATTGGGTTGAATTATCAGATTGAAAAATAACTATTTGCAGTGACAAGAGGCTGCCTAGAGCACAACTCTTGAAAAAATGTTGTTGCCTCTGAAAAGGCTGCAAATCATCAAAAGGCAAATGCTCCACCCTCATAAAGTAGGACACTTTATTTTTACAAGGGGCAAAGATTCTGTGTGCAATTGAGCACCAGAATTAGGAGAAGTGGGGAATTAGGCAAAAAAAAGTGGGAGAAGTGGTGTTAGGTGTATTGTAGTGCATATATCTAATGGATGTGAGTAAAGATGCACAGAAAACCTTTACTTTGTCATTTCTTAAATATATTCACAAATTCAGAATTTATCTTCCTGTAGGAGATTATATTAAAAAGTTGCATTACATAAGAGATTTTTTTTGCCAGCAGCATTTTCTATTATCCTTTTCTGCATGTTTGAAAAGGAAGTTAGTTGTCTCTCTCCACCCAGTCTCTTAGCGATACGGACTGACACTTTTGTTCCAAAACATGTTTCTTGTCACATTCTTAAACTTTTAGTGTGGTCTAATATTTCAGTTTGGTTAGGATTTTCCTCTGTTTTTATATATTTTCTCTTTTTTGCCTTATAGCTTCTTGAACTCAGGTCCAAAATGGTCTCTCAGGAAGCCTCTTTTGAAGAGCTGAAAGCCGAAGCCGAGAGCTACAAGGAAAGCAATGCGAGGCAGGCTTCTCTCCTCCTGTCCTTGCAAACCCGAGCGCAGGAGATGGAGGAAGAATTAAGTGTGCTGGCCACTTCTAAAAAGCAAACTGAGCTGAGAGCTCAGGAGGCATTCAAGCAGAACTGGGAGCTGAAGGAAGAACTTCATGAGCAAAGTGCCAAACTTGAGTAAGATTCATTTGAGCTGGGAAACAATTTGTCTTTGCAATGACAAGATACAATAGTTGTCAACACAGTAAAATATGTTGGTACATGGACTTCATTGCAGGCTTCCTAAGCTCTGCTTTAGTGTCTTGCAAAATCATGGTACTTGACTGTGTGGGAGGTATTGAAAGTAGCCTTTTGTTTTGAGTTGTTAATGAATAAACATAAATAAGGTTTTGAGAATTTTATCTTCTGCAAGAGAAATTCAGATATGATTTAGGTTGGTATAACTTTGTTGAAAATGAGCACAGAGGTCTGTTTCTCTGAACACAGCAAAACCAGTAGGCATGGTTTCCTCCTTCCAGGTAGGTCCTGATGTGGGCCTCATGCTCGGCACAAGCTCCATCACCAGCAGCAGGCTGGTGCCCTGTCACACCCTCATCATGTGATGCCTTTTTTTGATCTATGGTGTTTTTTATCTGGGTGTTTATCCGTTGCTTGCTGCAAAGCCTGGGCTGCGCAGTGGGGACCAATTGTTGCTGCTCCTACCTGGCTCTTTTCCCCTTCTGTCCAGCACAGCTGGAACTGGAATGGTGGCAAGTGAAATTTTTGTCAAGTAAAAAGCTCTCTGTTAGGAACAGTGTAATAAAGAAAACACAGTATATTCCTTTTTAGTACTGTCCTTAAGGGGGCATATTAATATACAACTTTCATTATGTTAGCTTTGTTTGACTTTCATTCTAGTTTTTGTTTGCTTGTTTGTTTGTTTTGGACATTACTGTGTGGGTTTGTTTCCTTTTTTAAGTGCATGCTAATCTGTCAGTTCTGGCATTGGGTTCTGCATATTTGCTAAGATTTCAGGTCAGTAGGAAGAAGACTGTTAGTAACGTTGATCATAAATAAAATGGATCAGCATAAATATTTCCAAATTCTAAAATTTCAAAATTGATGTCAATCATAGAATATCGATGAATACTTTATAGGCTGTTATAATGTTTTTTTTTCCTTCTTGGAGCCATCACAAGGCTGGTATTTAAATGAGAATGCCATTTCTATCTCAGTATTGTCTAGCTAAGAGCAAGATGAGTGCTTATCATGTCGGTGCTTATCATGTCTGCATTTTGCTTAGGTCTTCCAGGCTTGATGAACAAATAGATAATTGAGTTATTTTAGCAGCTGGAGAAATCTGTTACAGTGCACTTGTTTATTCCCAGCTCAGCTGCCAAAACCTCTACCTGGAGAGTGTTGATGTAGATTGCCAGAGATTCTAGATTATAACCCCCAATGTAGGCAAAGGAATAGTTAAGACAAAAGGTATATTTTGCATCCTAACAGCATAGTAAGCATTGCAATCTCTAAGATAGCATTTTAAATCTTGGCAACTGTTATCTCTGACAAAAAGGCCACCTTCTCCTGCCCTGCTTGCCTGCCTCGGTAATATCAAATGAGCACATGTCATAGGATTTTGTGATAGTGATGTGCTCAATTTTATGTGGCACAGAGCTGTGCTGCCCCCAGCACGGTGTTGTCCTTTGCCTGGTTGCTCTGTTTTGCCCATTTCACCTATGTCAGCACTTCTATTTGCGTGGCCCTGCGGTGGCCGGGGAGCTGCTCCAGGTGATCACTAAGGGGAGGTTTCAGCTGTGCTCATCCCAGATCCAGTTCGCTGCACGCCCTGCATATTCCAGCAGAGCTCTGGCGAAAGGGAAGGAATAAAGGGAAGGAAAACCTGCCTGCCCTCTTGGAAGTGTTTATACTGGGTTAATCTGATCTTTTAGAGCATTTTTGTCTCATTCTCACCCTTTTTTTTTTCCCCATCCTGATGGTTTTGGGCTCCCACTCAATACTGGTCAGTGTACTGGCTTAATGAGTTTGAGTTGCTTACTCATCTTATTAGCACGTGGCACATGACGAGTCATAAATAGACATTCAGGATTTTCACCCATAAAAGGGAAAAGCAAGCCAGGAGGCATGAAATGCACATTTGCATTCTATATCCAGGGATAGAGTCAAAAATGTTTTATGAATTTTGTACCACGCTCCTATTCCTATTCAAAATGGTACTTTTCTACTCAACAGGACTCTTGCCAAGGTATTTTTAGAAGCTGGAGTGTGAAAAGCTTTTTTTTTATTATTATTATTTTCCCTTTTCTTTGCTCATTAGTTCTGAAGAGCTAGCAAAACTGAGAAAGAGCTGCTCTCCGCTTTTTTTTTTTATATCTTATTGCCTATCTTCTGGGTGCTCATACCTGTATGGTTGCACTGGAGGTAATTAGAGTTATTCGTAGAGTTGTCAAGTAGGTGCTTTGTACTTCAGATTCTATATTTTTAGCGGCAGTCGCAGTTCTGTATATGATGTGCCTTGGTTTATCAGAGCCATAGAACAGCTTGCATGCTTGGCAGTCAAGGAGATTTTTCAGCCTGTAAGTTGAACACATCTGAAATGGCAGTCACCAAGAAGCAATGCATATAAAGGCTTATTATGTCATCTCAGAGTAATACTGACCTTTACTTGCAGTAGGTATTTTTAATAATATGTGAACTTCTTGTGATTTGGCTTTAAAGAGTAAATTTTATTTTTTATTCAAAAATTAAAAATGAAAAATAATTTTATTTTTAAAAGGTTATTCTGTATCTATATGTTTTGCTGTTAACTTGTAGTAAAATTTGCCACAAAAACTAGCCTGTAGGTTTCAAGAATGTAATTAATGTATGCTTTACTGCCTTAGCTATAGTGTAAAACTGTCTGGAATCTGATAAAAGGTTAGAAAATCATTGTTAGTGTTATAAAAGTTCATATTAATACTAAAACTCTCTGAATATGTATTACCAAGCATTTCGTTGAGGAATCTGTTAGTGCTTTGAAAAAAGCTGTCAGCCTTAGGACATTTCGGCTCTTCTTGAATGTTGAGTTGACCACTGACATGCGAGACCAGGTGTTTCTGTTGGGGCTTCTGCAGACGGGTGCCTCCTCCCCCACTGAGCACTTTGCACGTTTGCCTTGCGTGGGAATTCAGGCTTTCCTGCCGTGCTCCAGGATTCCCAGCAGCTCCGTTAACACGCTCATCAGCTGCAGGTTGTGGTGATTACGGGCGGCACCGGCAGCGTCGGTGCTGTTGGTGTAACGCGCCGCTCTGGCCATGTGTTTGCATCCACCTCCGGACTGTGCGTTTCCACTTGTGGCGCATCCCTCTTTAGGCCAGCAGTTCAGCAGCCATCTCTCAGCAGAGTTTTCCTGGGGTAATGGAGAAAAACATCAGGTGCCTTGAGATGAGGAAACTCTGGGGTGCTTGTACTCTGAGGGCTGGGACATGCTGCATTAAGCAGCACTCCTTTGGCTTGCAGTGTGCACCATGTAGCACAGTGTGCATGGTGTTCTCCTCGCCCTGTGTACAACAGGAATTCATGTTTTTCATTTCTGTGAAATGAAAAAATACTATGTTCATAACCACCGTATGTTTTCCTTAAGTGCTTCATGATGGCTTCTGATTATGGACCGGTGGTCATTTGCTTCTGTACCAGCCATCCTAGAGAAGAACAGAGGAGCAGTGAAAAAGAGAGTCCCCAGACTGCATGTGTGCCCGCCTTGAAAAGTTACAACAGTTCCGTGCTCTGAGAAATAAATGCTGTATAGAATTAAAATGAAAATGTTGTTCAAGTTAACAGACAGCTGTCTGGTAGCATCTTAATTTTCACTTTATTCTAGTGCTCAAATAGTTCTTCAAGAACTTGCTTGTACTGTAGAAATACCTCATTTCTTATCTACAAGCTTGAAACATTTCTAGCTCTTACAGCAACTCAGTTCTTACCCCTGAATTACTTTCTAATATGCATTATCCCTGAGAATGAACTGAAAATTTTCATTTTTCCCCCCTTTTTTTTGGTAATATTATCTGTTACCAAACCCCATGTTGTTGGGTTTAACAAATGCTATGGATACCTTGATATCAGTTCCTCTGACAGAGTTGATCGGCACACTGAGAGTGTAAGCAGTTCCTTCTGACTTAGTGCTGTTCCTTCTTGTGTATTCTGAAATAATGTTGAGGTTGATAACTGGATTTCACAAACAATCATTTAGAGCTGTCTTTGAAAGGTTATTTTTACCACTGCTGTTTCTCAGGAGTGGTGCTTAGGGCTGTGGCATCATGGACAAGGCTTATATCTTCTATATGGTTTTTATCTACGCAGGCTGTATCAGTGCTTATTTCCTAAATTTGTCTTTGTCTGTGGACTTGTCTTTGAGTGGACTGTGTGTTAATGTTACCTGGCTTCTGCATTTTAATGAAACCCTGTATTGAGAATGATGCCACTGTGGAAGTTTCTTTAAAATGCTCGTCAAAATAGAAGATGAAGAAATGTTTACATATAAGGCAACTAAGAAGTTATATGTATTAAATAACATATATATATATGTAACTTGTAAAGATCATTTCACAAGGTGCAGAAGCTAGCAATAATTTTAGGGTAATGTTTTTGCTTATTTCAGAGATCATTCATTTTGATAAACTGTGGCTTTTTTTCTGATTAGTAAATGTTTGAATGAGTGTGAAGAGAGCAAGACTCAAGCTTTGAAGATCAGCAGAAAACATGAGGAGCTGCTTGTACAACTTTCTGGATTCTTGGACACAGACATTGAAGAAAAAGAGGAACCACAGGAACAGTTACTTTTAAAGGTGATTATGTGTAGGGGAAGGACTTTCTAATAGGTCCTGATGCGACTTTTAAAAATGTTTTGCTGTGTTTTCTTACTGTAGTGTATAGTCCTAAAACAAGCTTAATTTTTTAAAAAATACTTGGCCTGACAATTTCATTCGTACTTCTATATACACATTTTTCAGGAAAATATTTATCAAAGAAATAAAACAAGTGAAAGCTTAGCTTCCACTCAGGAAAGTTCTTTTTACAATCTGTTAGCCTTTTGAGAAGCAGTTAAAGGCCAGTTGCCAATATGCATCTTTCTCTTTCTTGCCTAATATTCTCTGTCCCTATTTTTCCCTCACTTAGGAGCATGCCACGTATTTGGGGAAATTCTGCTTTGTTATATTATTATAAGACTTCTAAGGAATGCTTAAGAAATCAAGTTTATCCAAATATGTGTCACAATGATGTTTTAACAGCCTTTGCTGTCATAATATTACAAGCATTTTCAATTGTAACAGATGCTTTACCGCAACCTGGCCAGTTATCACGCCAGGAGAAGATATTTAGGGGTAAACTGCAACTCATACATGCTTTAAGTTAAATAATCAGGCACAGAGTTTAAAAAAGAATGTGTCAACTTTTTACTTACATAAATCAGATGACAAATCTAGCTTGCATTGGGAAATGTGTGCTTTAGGAAAACATAGCTACTTGTTTTTCTGTTTGGTGTCATGGTATGTGTGTCTAGGTTGTTTTTCTACACCATTGTTTAATTTCAGACAGAAGTGCTCTGGCTTGGTCTTAAGAAACATCTTACTGGTGGGAGTTAGGGTACGTTTTATTCCTAATTTTCCTTATATACTTTTTGAAGTGTCCACACTCATCTGTTCTGCTTCTTGGAAGTAACATATTGACCTAGAATCTTCCTGAGACTACTCTTTTTTTCAAGGTGCCAGTTGTTCAGACCATCAACCCATGAGTTATTCGGCCCCATCCTTGAATGTGCTGATGAAATAGCTGTTACTAGCTCAAGTCTCCCTGTGCCTAAAAAAAATCCAAGCACGAAATGAGGATTTTTGTTTCTCATTCCAAATGAAAACCTTAAGAAATCAAACCAACACTCTCTGCTTTTCTCATGAAGATAGTTACATGATCTGTTTTCATTTTTCTGATCTGCTTCAAGTCAAGGACATATACACAGAAGTGCCCGTAGCTCTCCACATCTTTAAGAGATCGTAGAGATTGTGTGGGAGCAAGGCTGAACCACTTTACAGCAAGATGTAGATTTATGGTGGGAATATGGTTTTCATTTTGCTTGTCTTTCCATTATTTTAGAATGGAGTAGTTGAATGCAATTATAAATGTAACCTGCAAGTCTTAGAAACACTATATCTTTTTTAAGGTGATTAGGAGCAGGTCTATTGTGATAAATAGAGGTTACTGATAATTTTAAAAGTTATTATTTTTTGAATTTTCTCTAGGCCTGTGAAGTATATAAAGAAAATATGACACTAAAAAGCCAGGTTGCTGCTCATCAAGAAGCCATCAATGCCCATGAGATTGAATCCAAAGCTAACAGAGAAACTATCATGAGGCTTGTTTCAGAAATGACCAAAGAGCAAAAAAAGGCAGCAGGATACTATCAAGACATGGAAGAACTTAGAAAGGTAGGTAGTAACATGATGTGCATGTTTACCATGTTTACAGATACTTTCCAGTAATTTCAAATGATTTTTCAGTAAAAGTTGTATTATAAAAAGTATTTTTGACAAAATTTCAAGGGCTAGGATCTCTACTAAAAAGACAACATTTTTCTATGATTACCGTCTATGTTTTTAAATCTTGAAAATATACAGAGATTAAATGTTAACAAAATTGAAGAGGGATCTTCTTGAGATTTGATATCTTCTGCTGACACTTGCAATGATATTTTTGCTTCTTTTGCACAGTTACAGGCTTTGTTGCTTGCAAAAACATGTAATATCACAGAAGCTTTTTTAAAACAGTGTAAATGTTATCAAGCACCTCTGAGACATAAGAATGGCATAAGGAAAAATGTTCTTTTAAATAGTATTTATGGGATATCACTAGTTTTCTAAAGGTTATTCTACTCCACTTCTTTGAAAATTCTAGTAAGAAACTGAAAGGAATTAATAAAACAGTATTTTATTCTTTTCACTTAAGCAAGTGGAAGTGTCTTGGTTACAGACACTAAGTTATTTGCTTTGCTGTGTAATAATCTCCTGCTGCATGTCTGTAGATACTCAGCTTTAGATATTCATAGACAAGTTCATAGGCATGGCTCCTGCAGGAAAACACTGCTTTGTTCTGGGGAACCTGTGGAGGAAATCTGTGCAGGAATGACACTGAAGTGAGAAATACAGGTAAAGCTGTAAGTCAAGAATTCAGCAAGTTTACCTAGGTACAGTTTGGAAAAGGTAAGAGTAAGTGAGCATTCCAGAGAACTCCTCATGAAGAAGTCTGGTACTCTGCACAGAATGGGCAGAGTGTGAGCTCTTGTAGCAGTTTTCCTGATGCAGCAATTCCTCACTTTGAGCAATAACTATATAAAGGGAGCAGTTTACTGAAATGTAATGAAGATTTTCCTGCAGGTAACAGAGCAGTGTGATGAAAGTTGATGGGCAGAAGTTAAGAAAATAATAAGCTGCTGATTTATGTAGCTGAGCTTGGAATAGAGATTTAAACATAAATAGAACCACGTGCAACTAAGTTCTCAAAGTTAATATGATCCCTCCTGTATTACCCTTTTCCTGAACAAAAGGCCACCAGCAAAAACTTGAAATGATGAAGTGTTCTGCTTCATTTGTAGGCATGATACTTAAGAGATGAGAAATACCTCATGAAATGCCTTAGGGAAGAAAGATTTTGTTATGGAGAAGATAAATATTAAGTACCAGGAGGCTTCTAAATCTTATTTGTGAAAACACCTCTAACCAAGCTAAGTTACACATTCAATCCAAGATTAAAGTTAGAGTGAGAGAACCTGTACTGAGAACCTAAACAGGTCCTTTCTGGCCATTCTTTAAACACAAACTTATGTTCGAATAAGGGGAAATTGTAGTATACTTAGTAGGTAAACCAGAATAAGGCTTTTTATTCTTCTTTATTCTTCCTTTCTTCTCCATTTTTAATTCAATCATATCTCCCTGAATTAGCTTTACAGTGTTAAATCCAGCATTCCCCCCCCGTTGCTTATAAATTCATTTGTCTCTTTCTGTCTTAAAGGTAGAATTAATCTTCCCCACCTATTCTGACTTGAATGCATTTTCCATGAACGTGGCTTATCTGATATTGAATACATTATTTCTCATGAGACCTTGCCAAGGGACAATAGCCATAAACGCTGAGGAACCAAAGGGAAAACAGGAATTGTTATAGTTCTATTCTTTCAGTCTTCTAGGGATGGAAACTGTTTTATTTCCTTGCAATGAACACATCAGGCTTTTCGGGTTTTACCTTTAGTTGGGACAGCACTTTTGAAGATCGTAGTATCCAAACTTTCAGGTGCTGTTCAATGTTCATACTGACCTTGCTTAAGCTGATAAATGAATGTTCTCCATTCAAGACATTTGTCGAAGAAGATTGTTCTGTGCTATAAAACTTTCAGTGTCACTACTACTTATTCTATAAATGGAGTGTATGTATTTTTCAGGTTTAGGCATCCACAGGCTCGCAATTACTTATTTCATACCTTGTTCTTTTGATTCAGTTGTGTTTGTCTGCAGATGTTCACAGTTTGAAACGTAACTATGTTTCAAACTGAGGTAGGCTCCCCGGTACCAGCAAACTACATTTGCACTGTTTCTCTGAAGAGAAAAACAGAGACTGGTGCAGACTGTAATTGAAATAAACCACACTTTACTCTTTGCTGTAATTACTGTAATGTTTCTCAACAAAGGTGGGAATTTTCTATTAATAGGACTTGTTTAGAATACAAAAGAGAAAATGGCAAGGAATCATGCCAACATTTGTTTCCAAGAGGGTTTTAAAATGGCTTTAGAAATGGGTAGTAACAAATAATTACCTAAATGACAGGGTTTGTTTTGGTTTGTTTTCATTTATGTGTTTAGCTGTTTGTCTCTTTGAAGCTATTTAAAAATTTTCATATTTTTAGTATGGTATGTTTACATTTTATTTCCAAGGGTGCCTCCCAGACTCCTTTCTGTCCATCCTCACTGCCGAGCTCTATGATATTTCCCAGATTTACTGCTTGATTAACAGGTATTCCATTAGTACAACTGGTTTACTGTGCTCCAATGCTTTAAAACCAATACTATTCTTTAATACCAATAAAAGCAATCCTAGCTGATACCAATCCAGTTATTGAGCCTCCCCTTGGAAACTGAAACTTCTAAAGAAATTTAGCTATTCATTTAAATATGCCATCAAGTTGTCTAGTTTGTCTTGTGTGAAGCAATATTCCTTCCTTTTCTACCTATCAGTCGGATAGACTCAAAGAATGAAGACATCCATACTCCTTGCTGTGCCTTGGCTTGACTGCAGATTTTATCCTAATCACTCTTAATGCTACTATCCTGGAGGCTGGTTATTTTTCTACATCCTAAGCTGAGTCTTGGCTCATCAGATGAGAGAGAGAAAATTAATCTTAAAAGGTCTGAGCTTCATATGAAAGTATTGTAGCTGTCAGAGACTAAATATGGACCATGACACAAAATAATATTTTTTAAGATGAAATTGATATTTGTGCATTTGCGCTTTAATCTCTTTTAACTTTTTCCATTTATTTTTTTGTTCTCACCCTTCTTCCCCAATCACTATTTCTGTACATAAATAATCTTGTCACATTCACCAAATATTAATTCTATTCTTAACAGTGTGTTTACAGGCTTTTTGTGTATTCATGCTTTTTCTTCTGACATAGGGTAACTTTAACTTTGTTTGTGTTACATTTTCTTCACTAGTGGGTTTCTAAGTCTCATTTTCTGAATGAAAACGTAATTTAGCAATTGTTTTACAACCCCAAATGATGTTGAACCTGCAAGTTTCATTCATGTATTACTCTTGCAGGTCACTGTGTAAGGTTAATCCACAGTACAATCACAGCATCTTTGGGGCTTTCATTAATTACAGTGGGAATTCTCCTGGTGTCCCCAGCCCCATATGAACAATACGGGTCCCAATGCCTCCAGCTGCAACACTAACTTCTGACTTGCTGCCTGCTTGGGGGAGTTCTAAAAGCTTTTAAAAGTCTGTTTTAATCTTTCATGTGTCTTAGGATCTTGACAGTGCTAAAACAGCAAGACAAACTTTGGAGACTGAGATCAGCAGCCTCCAAGACAAACTGGCTGCTAGCCAGAAAGCTTGGGAAGCCTCACGAGAAGAGCTGCACAATCTGAAGAGATCTTCCAGCGAGCTAGATGGAAGCTTGAGGAACAGCCGAGAAGAGGCCAGGACTGCGCAGAACTCGTTGGTTTCTTTGAAAGAGCAAATTGCTGCCCTGCTCAGCAGTAGGTCTGCAATAGTTAAACCTTGTGAGAAGGCCATTTTGGAGAGGATCCAAGAAATAAACTGCAGGGAGAAGAGTAAAGAATTAGTAAGTGAACAACTGCTAGATTTTCCTGAGATTTTATTGTTCTGTTTAGCTCTTTTCTACTCTCTTTATCTACGTGTTGTTTCATTTTGCTTAGATTTTGAAGTTGAGTACCTGTAATTTGCTTATCTGATTTCATATTATTAGGCCAAGAACATACATATATCTATATATATATTTTACATAGGAAGAGATCAGGAATGAAATAAATAACAAATACGAAGAAAAGGCAAGGAATGTTTTTTAGTTAAAACTTTGAAACTTGGTTTCAGTGCCTCTTAGCAGACCTCACAAGTGGCAGCATTGCCACTACCATTTAGATGAGCCTCTTGGCAAGTAAGGATTTTCTGCTGTGATAGTGACTTCAAGGATTGGACCATTTCTCAGAATTGCGTCTCAGGGACGGCTGCCCTGGGCAACTGCTTTCCCTCTAGGCCTCAAAGCCTGCACCTAGAGAAACGTGGCTTTGCGCTTCCAGTTGAACATTGTTGACACTGCAGTGTTCACCTTTTAGGAGAAAGGTTGATATGGACTTGCTTTGTGAGCACAGCGTTGTCAGAAGGCACTGTTATTTAATTAAAAAGTGACACATTACATCAAAAGTTCCTTCTGCTAAAAAGCAACTTCTGTGTCCTTACCAGATTTATGATTCTAGCATCTTCCACTGATGTGATACTAGTTAAGGTTAGCAAAAATTGTATATTTTGGTTCTGTCCATGATTTAAAACATCTCTTGATGCTCTCCTAAACCTTAGTTTGAGAGATTGTGGAGCAAATTTCAGTGAAAACAGTTTTTGTGAAAATGTTTAACATCTTTACAGTTTTGCCAGTGTGTCATGGAGCACTGTAGTCAAAGTGCTTCAGAACTGAAATCTAATGACAATTATGCATATGTGTTTGTACTGTTGGCTGTGTGGCATACAGTGCATGTGGCTCAGAGGTTGCTTAGTTTGAGAGCTACTGAGAAAGGGAAATTTAAGTCAACAGGCAAAGGGTTTTGCTGGGATATGATTTTAGGCGGCCTTCATCTTCTGTAAGGCTCAGCTGTGGCTGTGTTTGCTTGTTTACTAGTATGTGCATTTTTACATACTGCTTGTTTCAGTTTTTATTGTTCCTGATCATTATCCTGCACATGATTTACAATATTGGGTTACTCACTTGATCTTTTGGTAAACTGCTAGTATGGGGGAGATTCAAGCTGAGTCTTTATTTCATTGCATGTGCAACCATTTTTCCACTTTCTCAAGGAATGTGTCTGGCTCTGCAAGCAAGAGCATTGCTTTGAAAAGTCATGTTCTGTTACATGGAACTACTACAAACTATATAAATAGCTATTCTTCCTGGACATGCGCAGTAATAATACGTTTCATTTTTTTTTCCTCCGAACAAGCATCAGTATTCCCAATTTAGAGGTAAAGAAATGGAAGTTCCAGAAAAGTGGTAGTTTTTCCATAGGATGATAAGAACTTATTTGGTTGCTGTGCTGCAACCTCTCACTCCCACAGAAAGAACTGTTGGCTCTTACTGCAATTTTGGCCTGAAAATTTGAGACATCCATTTTTCAACATTTTTGTTCTCAAAATCAAATATATATCCTTAAAAATGATAATAAAACAATTTCTAACACAGAGCAAGTGTCAGCTTTAACTTGTTGCTGCTTAAATCTGTGCTGTGGAACCAGGGTTCTGGTTTTGTGTTTGCTGCTTTTAATTAGTTTATTTTTAAATAGTAGAAGGGCAGATATATGAGATATGTTTAGCACACCATTGCTGCCTCTGCCAGCAATGCAGCAAATACAGCACTTACATGCTGATACATAATATTCTCCAGAATGCCAGACCATCAGTTTGTTGCTCAGGAAGTTCCAGAACAATAAATATAATCTTCAAGTGCAATGTTTTGGGGTGAATTTAGTCCTTGATAAATTAAGTGATGTTTAGTGTTTTACTGCTCTGACTCAAAGGTCTGGAAAAATTTGTCTGCATTGTCCTGAAGTGAACCGCATTACTAAAACATCGCTGGCATCTCTTCTCAGAAGCGTTTCTATATTAAAATCAAGGGCTTTGAAATAAATAAGCTAAAATGCCAATATCACGCACCTGAGTGCAGTGCTAATAAAACACTGAACGCGTCATCCAAAGAGTTGTTTTGCAATCAGCTGTTTTTCTTTCTGAAGTCAGAATTAAAAGCAGTTTCTAAGACTCCTAAGAGCAAGATATGTATGTGTTGGTACTACCTTCTTGATCAGAGTCCCATTGCATTTTTTTGGTGAATTTCTTTGCAGGACTTGGGTATAATATTGTGACTTAGGATATGTGTGTTATTCTGTTCTAAGATATGTATGCTATACTATAGGTCAATTATCAAAAAGATTAATTTTCTTCAGATATATATTAGAGGAAGGTTTTCTCACAAACTTTCCAGTAAACTACCAAGCCTGATGGAAAACAATTTCAAATCAGAATCAGAAATTTCTTGGCAGGGTAAATCAGCCTATGCTGGCATTTGTGCCCAGGCTGTCTTGTTTCAGGCTGAACTCCAGCAATGCCAACCCAGCTAGGTTTGAATCCAACAGCCAAGTGCCTTTCTGTTGGAGATAAAGGTTTTGCTAATGAATGACCATTTTGGGGATGGCGGCTTACTCTGCCACTACTCTAGGAGTTTAATTTATAGTATCACCTATACAGAGCTCAAGAACTCAACTGCCACCACCAAACCGGGGTCCTGTTAGGTATGTTTGGCTCCTGTGGCATGCATGTGGCATGCATCTGTCAGAGCTATGGAAAGTTTTAATTTAAAAGTGCATCTGAGAAATGTATTAATTGCAATTCTTTGTTGTGATTCTGTAAAACAGATTTTCTGTGAAATCCCAAATGTTCTTGAAGATTAGATTCCCTAATTGTGGTGCTTTTAATATCTGAAGGGCCCCAGAGTTATTCGTGGCCTGCATGGCCTGCATGGCCTGCATGGCCTGCAATCAAAAATTGTAATTTGATTCCAAAAAAATGAGCATTTACAATGACAATGTCTGGTGATAAATATTTTATTGTATCTGAAGGGCCCCAGAGTTATTCATGGCCTGCATATTAGACATTAACACTATCAAAAATTGTAATTTGATTCTAAAAAAATGAGCATTTACAATGACAATGTCTGGTGATAAATATTTTATTGCAGGATTAAGATACAGGATTTGAACTGTTGTCCTAAAAATCTTTTCAGCAGCTATAATAACTTGTGCATCATCTGAATATGGCTGGGCAGCCTGTAGATGTTTTTGGCATTTGTAATTTATACATGTCAGCACAGTCCATGGGGACGTGGAGGCCAAGGCAGGCAAGAGGTAGGAGCCCCCACAAAGCCCAGCCAATGCCAAAATTGTTTAGCCTCTCCCACTGAAATCTCCTATTGCTGTTTTTGTCAGAATTCTTAGTGACTTTAAGTGCAATGCAATGAACACTCTACTTCCAGGATCTACCTTTTCCTTTGCTGCCATAAGAGCTCTGTGTAGAACTAACATCATCTTGTGCCCACACGTGCACTTGTGCCTGTGTTGCGAGGGCCGATCCATCTGCATAGCACTGGGAGCAAGGCAGCTGAGGCTGTGTGTCTGCTGCTTTTTGTATATTTTTTTCAAACAAGAAGAAATGGAAAATAATTTGACAAATAAAGTTAGTGCAGAATAATACAGATAGTGACTTAGGGCTTACCAGTGACTGAAAAATAAGGCAACTAGAATGTGAGGAATTAGTAGAAATAGAGTGGAGAAGAAAATGAAACATAAGTATGCTGCTGTATGAATCCATGCTGCTGCTACATTCTGAATACCAGACATAATTGTGATAGTCTCATCTCCCACCCCTGAGCCTTTAAAGAGGACAAGAGTGAGCTCAAAGTGTCCAGAGGCTCCCTTACAGGAAAAGACTCAGTAGCGCAAGAAAATTTCAGCTTGGAACAGTGAGTGGGATGCAGTAAAGAGAAACAGTGTTGCTCAAATAAGGACAAAGACGAGAGCAGTGGCAACTCTAATGCTTTTTCAGCTGGTGAGGATCTCAAAAACTTTTGTACTCCGTGCACGTGTGTGCATATAAAGCTGGGGAAGTTTAAGATAATGCTTTATAGAACAAGAAGAGTACAGCTTACTGATACTGCAGTAAAAGACCTTTCTAGAAGTATTTGGAATTTCTTGCAAGACAACTGGCATCCCAGCAAGTTACCAGGTAGCCACTTGAAAACAGGCAACAGGAATTGCCTCTCTTTGCACACTGCCTGATTGCACTGCACAAGTCACTGGCACGGGCAGCTACAGGAGTTCAGAACTGCAGGACCAAAAATACAGACTGGATAAGCCATTGGATAAGGCATGGGTCATAAGGTGCAACCAGATTTCAGGGAATTCCTGGATTGTTGCTTTGAGGCAGAAAACCTGGATGCTCTTGACGACAAACTTGCAGCTTGATGAGTTTGTGGTTACACTTTCTGTGGTAGTTTTTATGTTTATGGTCTTTTAACACTACAGCCTCTATGTGGACTGAAAGTTATTGAAATCTGTGTTTTCTACTGAGTGACAGATCTGATGCAGAAAAGCTTAAGATGATTGTGTGGGAGTTCTCATGGTTTTATTATTGTTTAGTACTTTACACCAGTGTAACAGCAGCAGTCACTTCTCAGTGTTTTTCAAGCAGTTTTGGTGCAAACTCTTGTTTGTATTTAATTGCGGTCGAAGTTGGAAACCTTTATGTGCCACTAAAACTATTTGCATGCTTATTGTTTATTTTATTGCCATGAGGCAAACAGATGTTTAAATCGAAGAGACTGTTTGGAGATGAGTATCTGAAAACTGAGTTAAAATGCACAACAAAGAAATATCTAAAAAAATAAGTAAAAGGTAAGAACAGGAGAGAGGGAAAGAAGGAAAAAAGCAATTTTTTGAATAAAAAATAATGATTCATTATTTGGCAGTGGTATAATCAGATGTTGTCAAGCATTAATTTATAAATGCTTTCCTATTTAAAAATGATTATATTGTGCACCAGCTGCAGGGTTAACAGTGTGGAGCTGCAACTGTTTTCAGAATCATCACATGGTTGCTCGTTATAAGATTTTTATCCTTTTATCCTTACAGAAAAAAAAAAAGTTTAGCAAAACATTTTGTTTAACTGTCCTCAAAAAACAAGTGAACAGTTGCAAAATGCTCTTCTGAGACATGGTTATTCTTGTCTTAGGTCTCATCTATATATCATGGGTATTTTCTAAAATACTCTTATCTATTCTTTCCACTTGACTTTGTGACAGACTGGAGATCATATGGCCTGTTTTTAAAGGAAGCTTGCTGCCTGCCAGCTACTAGTGGCTAGCCTGCGTCTTGAGAGTGTTTGTATCTAAATTAGTTTATATGGAAATAGCTGTTTAAAGATACTTGCTCCATTTAGTTGAGTGACTCTTAGATATAGTTTCTGTTGTTCTTTTAATTGAATGTCTCATGTGTAGCCATTCCTGCCATTATTTTCGCAGTGGTTACATTAGATTTTTCCCTTTTTGCCTGTCCAAATATATGTATTTTAAAGATATTTTTAACCTTATTTTTAATAATTTGATAGTGTGTTTTTCGTATCCAACACTTCTGCACCCACCTTATCCTGTCTCTTGGTTTGTTTGCTCCCTAGATGGTATCTCAGCTTGAAACTCAAATAGCTAAATTGACTGAGGGTTTGGAAAATCAGACTGCATTGTACCAGGAAGCTCTGGAGAGGAGTAGGAAAGCTGAGAAACTATCTGAGACTCTCCAGGATAAACTGAAACATTTGGAAGAGGAATTGCTGTCTGGACATATGATGCAAGATGCTTTGAAGCTTGAGAAACAAAAAGTAGTTGCACGGTTTATTTACTTCTCTATAAAAGTTGGTAAAACCAGAGACAGTTAATTGTATTGCATTGATCAGCTTGAGTATTACAGTACTGCAAGTAATGTGGATTAGCAAAGTAAAGCATGTGTGACATTTTAATATCTCTGACTAACAGTTTTAATTGGAAAAAGCAGATACACTTCTGATTTTAAAGTCAATTTAATGTGCAGAAAAGAGATGCAAGAGTATCTGTATCAGAAGACCTCTAAGGATTCTCTGATCTAAAAGCTCCTCCATCCTTCTCTAGCATATTATTTGGTCCACATCATCTCAAGGTCCTGCAGCACTTGATTCCTTTAAAGCCTTACACCATTATGGTCACCAAACTTGTTCTATCAATAGGGTGAATAAAAATCACTCTCATTTTGGAACATTAACCACATTTTAAGACTTTGGAAAATGACATAACACCTGGAGAACTTAATCAGCCATTCAATACAGCTAAGAACAGCAGCGGGTATGACAAGTACTAGCATGTTACAAAGCCAAGATTAGTGAGGGATCAGGGAGCAATTGTTGAGTTTGCCAAGGACAAACAGCTTGCTGTGGTTTTGCATTAGTTTATAATGCAGCAACTTTTATGAATAAAATATCTACCATGCTGGGAACAACAGGAAATGGATTTTTTTTTCCCTTCTGCTCCCTGTGGGGAAACATGTGGCCTTAGTTTTTTATTTTTTCTAAAGATGTTGCTGCAATAAAGAAATCTTTGCTGTTCTTTTTGCTAATGAACAGCATCAGTGCTTACTTCTACTGCTTCTGTTTTAAACTTTTTGAACTGGAAGCAGTGTGAAACAAAAAGATCCTCGCCACTTTTATTATAGAAGCACCAGCTGTGGAACTAACCAGGAGGTATTTATTTTTTCATGATTTTCATCTGTTTTTCTTTGGACAAGATTATGAGCAGCAACAGAAATATGTTAGAGCACAGCAAAACCCATTTTCAGTGCAAAGAAAAAAATAGAAAGGGTAATAAAATCCATGTGTGTTTGCATCAAGCGCTCCCTAAATGATCAGAAAATCAGACAAAAATTGTATAAACACAGAAATATGTTGGTAAAGATGAGTATAAAGGACTAGCATGTGTGCAGACAAAAATTGTACCAGGGTGTAAAATGAATGAAAGCTTGGATGTTATGGAATGAAAGATGGGCGATAGAAAAAGATTAAATATACAAGAAGGAAAACTGTAGGGCACAGTACTGACTTGTATTGACACTGCTATGTCTCTTCATACCACATGAAGTCTCCAAGCGTCTCTCCTCTCCAGAGGAGACCACAAAGGCCTCCTCCGGTGTCCCTGGTGTCACTTTTATCCGTGTTACTCGGCCAGAGCTGCCACCACTGGGCTGGCATTTCCAGTGAAGTGAAAAGTCTGTCTCTTCCCACCTCCCTGCCAGAGCCTGGGGTCATGCAGGGGAGCAGAGCCGGGGAAGGGAGCTGTAGCTGTGTAGACGCACACACCTCTAGCAGTCTTCTTACACTAGAGGAGCAAGAGGCAAGCTGGCCTCGTGAAGAAGAGAACTGCACTAGGTCCAGGGACTTATGAGCAAAATAAATTTCAATTGAAAAAGGACCACTGGGGAATTTTCAATTTTATCACAGTGTGTGCCTTATTTCTTGTGGATAATGACTGTTGACTCTATTAATTGTGTGTGTGTGGGGGATTGCTTTAAATTATACTGTGTGTCTTTTATTCTTTT